AAATAAATAATGATTTTTTGCTCATATACTTATTGTTTAATTCATTAATGCATCAAAATTGAATTCAATGATAATTAGTATCTATATGTAATAAATTATGTAAATTTACAACTCAATATACAAAGTTCTTTTGCATAGTACACAAAATGTTATCTACCATTAAAACCCAAGTAAATCATTTGGGTTCTCCATTCCAAGCCAATTTACCACTTCTTTCTCGTTTATATTTCTTTCAAAAGTGAAATCTTACATCATATTCTTTTATCTATACCTTTTGAACTCATCTTCCAATCCAATACTCAATCTCATATCAGCAGCTGCGGATACTAGCTCATCAAATAAATAAACCAAGGTAATTTTTCTATCTGCTAACTCATTATTATTCATTGGTACTTTACATTTTTTCACAACAGAAATTCTATTTAACCATCTTTGTAATGATTCTATGCTATTTGCCACTGCCCCATGAACAGGTATTGCTTTTCTGTGGGATTGTATTGCTTTGCTATAACTGTTACGTGACCAGCCATGCCAAAGTGCAAATAATAGACTTATAACACAACCAATTACTGTCTGTTTACAAAAAAAGAGCCAATTAGTTTTTTTTTAAATTATTTCCAGACAAATAACTAACGTTGTAAATAGTTACCGTTACAAATCCAAAAGGAGGATTATCAGTTTGTAGGTAATAATGATAAATTGAAGGAAAAGCTATAGCTATAAGGCTACATGGTAAATTAAAATTTTGTCAGATATTATATTTTTATAACTGTTAAATAACAACAATAATTTTATATAAATATCATATGTACATTGATAAAATGTAAAAGCAATTTGCCACGTTTTTACGTTTCTTCCATTTCTCTATATCATTTTGTAAATTTTTATATGCGCTGTCTAGGTTACGATCTATCTCGCGTACCATCATAGTAAGTTCTTGAAGTCGATCTGTAAAAAAAATTCAAGAGAACTTATTAAAAATTCATAAAACAATAATATAGTAATATAATAGTATACTAATAATATAATAATATAACATGCCTTCAAATTTATCAAACCCTATATCAGTAAGGGTTTTTTCGAGATCTGTTAGAGTCTCAATGTATTTGATTTTCATATATTTGATTGAGCCTGATAGTAGAGGGCATACAGTAGGCGAATGAAAATCTTCATAAATCTCATTTAGATGAATTAAATCACGTATCAAATTAAATATGCGAACTATCAATGAGAAATACGAATCGTATATTCTCTAAGGTAATAAATTATAAAATTAAAATAAAGATTAAAATAAATATGAGGAAATAGATAAAACTAGGATTAAATAATGATATAAAACCTTATCAAAGTTTTTTTCAACTCTTCTGTCATGAATCAAAGAGTTCAATACTTCAATAAATATTTTGCCTAAATCCTCATCAAAAGAGTGCCTTTCTTTAGTTAGTAACACGGTCATGAGAATACCGTTTACACCTCGGTCAACGTCCATGACTGGTCCAGGGAACAATTTTTCGAATGTACCAATTTCTAAATCGTCCATCAAATAATCTAATGCTACATCCAATAATACCGAATCAATAGGATCACTTAGAGTGCGTAAAATAGAATAATTCCAATCTTCAGTTTTTGTCATTTTGTTTTCATGAGATGATGCTTGCATCATTTTCATGATACATTCGTAACTTGAACTGTCCAGTGGAACCCAATCAGCGAAACCATTTTCAGTAAGGCGTTCAATGACCGGGGAGGTTCGAAATGCTTCCATTAAACTCATATGGGATATATTACTAAACTTTATTTTTATCTACAAATTATAATAAATAATTCATATTACAGTGTTAAATATATATATTATATATTATATATATATATTAATAATTTCTAAAAGAAAAAACAAAATTTAAATATTACCTTTAATCTATCGGTATTGGATTGTTCAATAGGTGAATTGACTCTAAGTTCTATTCTATGATCAGAATGCCTTGGATAAGTTCTTTCAAAATCATTAAGGAATGCTACAGCACTCGCCGGACCAGCTAAACTAGTAATAGCTTCGACAAAATCATTTTTAGTACCCTAATAATTACATATAATAAATAAAAGATTTTAGTAACGTAAAAATATACATGAAAGAATATTGAGAAGCCGAGAAAGAAAGAAAGAAAAAAAAAAAAAGATACCTTTAATCTATAAATTTGGAATAATGCATAATCGGTATCGAAATGAAATTTCACTGCAGTATCTTCTTCCACATAATGAAATCTTTTATTATAATAAATAACCGGTTTAATCGACCCAACATTTGTATTATTATAATCTTTCATTCTTATCCAAAAATTTAGCACGATAATATTTTTAGATAGGATAGAAAGAAAATGTTTTAGTACAATTGTGGTAGGTACCGAAGGATAGGAACAGATGAAATTGAAAGAAGTTAAGGAATTGAAAATTTCACGAGGCGTTAAAAAAAGTTAAGACATTGAATAAACAAGATGGCGCAATGACGAACCTTATTGGGGTGCAAAAGATATTAGATAACCCCTTTTATCTTTGATTGTCAGAAAAAGTTTAGTTTAGCCACAAACTTTTATTAAGTTGTTGCACACCGTTTCTCAAAGATTATCTATCTACTTTGCGTTATCTGGTAGTAATAAGAACAAAGATGAATATGAGTAGCCGATCTTAGAGCATCATTGTTAACGATTATATGTGATAAATATAAAATAATCACTACTGTTGCTGTATTAAGAGATTAAAACTATTTGAACTATTTGTAGCAAAATACGGTTTATGCCGGAAAGGCTATAATAATCTCATTTGTTCATATCACCACACTTGTAAGAACCAATAACCTAAATGGTTTTCCGAAAATAAGCACATACACAAAGAAGTAAACATGCGTCACTACCATACTGTAGTTCTTAATCTTTAATTCTATCTATAGACCAAATATTAATCACATACAATAAATACACTTTTACGTACTAATAAACCAATTAACATTCACCAAAAATCATAAACGTTTTTTGGGGGGAAAATATATTGGGGAATGGATTAAACTTGTTTACTTGCTTGACTTTTAGTTACAAACTTATGAAAGAAACAAATAATTTGGTTTAATTTGGAATTTCATTAATGCAAAATATATTTGACGATCCCCAGACAAATTTATAACATATCGTGGCGAATTAAGTGATCCTTTGTTTCATACTATATATCACAAAGATTAAAGATGGATGATCATTATGTAAAAGGCTAAGTATTTGTTTAGATTACACTAATAAATTATATAAGCCAAAGCTGTATTGATCGATCACGAAGTGAGTTTAAAATACCAACTAACGCTAACATTTATTTCCCGTAGGATCATCGGAAAAAATCAAGGTTCCATATAGCGCGTGTAATTACTTGCGCCGGTAATACAATGCAAATGACCAATTGGTATGTATAATTTGACATCCGAACAAAAAGTGAAAATGCGGAAAAAATATGTGCATAAACCTGATTATAGGACATTAATTAACGTTTAAAAGTGTCGGCTACGTACGTATGTACATATGCACGCACGCATGTACGTACATATGTAGCACTTTCCTAGTCCTAAATTCTGTAGTTTCTAATTTTACATATATAGCTTTGCCTTTTCTGACATTGTATCACCGGCACATATAAGTAAATTGCGAATGGTTTTCCCAAGCTTCCCATCTCATCTTTACCGAAAAATCAATTATAGCACTTGTACACCTTAAACGTCTCTATTGTAGAATTCCACAACATCTGCACGTTTTTTTTTTTTCATTTCAAATAATAATATGAACGTAATTTCCTCCGCATTTGACATAATCAATTTTTCTTATAATGGATATTTCAAATGCTTTAACAAACTTTACAATTCTCTGCTTACGTCTGGAGATAGATCCCCTACTTCCGTCTGGTGAATGTGATACAAAGCTTCCTAGATCGTTTTCCATCAATTTTACTCGCTCCCTTTGCAGGTGAATACCATGTATAAGGTACGTATACGAACACCATGATCTATAAACTATTTGTTTGAGTTTTGCATACCTATTTTTATGCCCCAAGAAAACGTCTATTTGCAAGTGTAAAATTTATCATCAGTTTTATAGCATAAAAAAAAAGTCATTCACTTTTTTATCTCTTCCTCAAGTGTAGAAGTTACAAAACTTATTACTGTTTAATATGATGGGCTTGTTGCAGTATGAAACGTATACGTATTGATGTATATTGATGGGGCACACAAACACAATCTTATGCTAATACTGAAAGTTTGAATAACAGAGAATAAACAGATTTGTCTTGTACGTACGTACCTACATGTTTTGTCATTGTATTTAATAACCTTATTTCTAACTGTAATATTTCCCAATTGCTTGATGTTCTACCAGAACAGGCACACAGGGTTTTGGAATTAACTTTCTAACCAGATTAATTCATGTGACACTCGTTAATGTCTAAACGTTGTGGAACCAGCTTGGTACATTCAAATTTAAAACAGGTAATCCGCAGGTGCGTGAATCAAATCAATAACTAGTTAAACGATAACGTTTTATAGGCTGGTTCATACCCTAAATTTTAGATTTGTCTGTAAATCTTGTGAATACATTTTACAGGTTTCGCATACCAATTTCGTACACACCTATCAATAACGTACCCACCCCAAGTAAT